AGGGCGGTGGGTCCTGTCTCGGACTCCATTCAGGTGCGATGCGACCCGAGGCACCCCCGTTTAGACTGCGGGTTTCTCCTTCTCGGCACGGCTAGCGCCCCGCTGACGGTCCCACGCAGCTCCTTCCTGGCATCGGCCTCACGAATGACGGGACTGCCAGCATCTCCCTGAAAGGTCAAAACCTAAGAGGGGTGGTTAGCATTGTCCAGTCGTCATCAGCACAGGCTGCGCAAAATCACAGGCTGGACAGCGGTGGAGCAGGATCCCGAAGGGTGAGGACAATGGAGCGCGGTGGAAGCCTACGCATGTTAAGCCACGCGTGTTCCCCCAGCCCGTCGCGGGACCATGGGAATTGCAGGCGCTCTTCCTGCCTGAACACGTGGGGGGCTGCGCCCAAAGCAATCTGGAGGACTGTGGCGCTGCTGTTTATGTATCTGGGGGGGTGGCCTCCTTCTACCTCCCGGGACACGGTGCACGGAAGGAGTGACGGCAGCTTCGGCAGGTACATCAGGGAACCTATTAAAAGGATGCCGCCACATCGGCAATGTCAACGGGAAAGATNGGGGGGGTGGCCTCCTTCCACCTCCCGGGACATGGTGCACGGAAGGAGTGACAGCAGCTTCGGCAGGTACATCAGGGAACCTATTAAAAGGATGCCACGTCGGCAATGTCAACAGGAAAGATTTAAGGGAGGTGCCAGGGGGCATCTTCCTCACACGGGCTGCGTCCGCAGAAACAATTCTGATGCCAAGGGCTTTGGCAGCAGCACATCAGACACTCACTTTGCGTGAATCAGCCTGTCTGCCGCTCTCCATCTCCAGCAGAGAACACGTCGTCGATCACGGTCTGATGCTCGTCGTTTCTCTGATGAACGTTCTGGGAGATCAAGTGCCCGGTCGGTGTCCTCGGGGCCCTGGAGCAGTCAACCCCAGATGCAAACGAGACGTGGCCTTCATGTGAGACTCTTCCCGGGGCCCTCTGAGGTGGACCGTCCACTGCATGGGGGAAGACTAAGGAAGAACGTCGGCCTCTACCCCACCAAATGATTTCGTGCTCAACATTGCGCTCCCCAATTTAACTCAGACAGATGGCCCCCGTCAAACAACAAAGATCGGTAAAACTGCATGCACATTGAGAACCAAAGGGAAGGGCTTTCCCAGGCGGCTCTAGCTTCAGGAGAACGACGCTGCCACAGGCCATCAAGCCGCCCTTTACATGAAGAGAGAGATGGAACATGGATGTACTTACTCCCGCGTTCTCTTCCGTAGCCAGAAACGTCGCACCAGAAATATCTCTCAGCGACGGTCCTTGAGATGGCAAACAGAAAATTTTGACAGCATGGGCCCCCCAGGCCCGCTGGCCAAAGGAAGATACGATCTATACGAAAGCTAACAGTGTCATAAAGAGGGAATGCTAAGTCAGCTTTCCAATGTGGACTCTGATCAGAACAACAGCATCTGTTCAAAACTGGCCATTCCAACTCTTTTTCAAGATAATGACCCGCGTGTGAGTGTTTGCTCCCCTCTATCCATTTTGGCCCTTCCCGGGGTTCCTCCCAAAAACGACTCGGACCTCCACAAAAGTGCAAGCCACAAGAATCGCTCAGCTTATTCTCTCTCCAGTACAGAAAATATTCATCGTACTGGAAGTGTGTTACGTAATAGTGCATAATACTAAAAAAGGGATCAATGTCAAGGATTACTGGTGAGAAAAAGGCTTGCCACATACAACCTCCTCTCCCCACTGGAGCCGCCTTGGAAGGCACTTGCAAGGAGGAAAGGGGACGGGAGACCTCCCCCCGCCCGGGGGGGTGTCACCTTTCCTATATCTGAGTCCCCTCGTGTATTTCAGAGGAGAGATGGGATGGTATAAATGAGACTTCTCAGCTCTTCTCCGCTCGAACAAGTACAGGAAATTGAATGCTGCATGTGCCAGCGGGGAAGCTTGCATTCTGGCCCTGAAACGGGGCCCGATCCCCCATCAATTCCTCCGGGAACGGGTCCGCACTGCCTCAACAGGCATCCTGCCTGCGCCCATAGAAGCCAAGCCCTGCGTTTGATTCCCGGATCGG